AGCTGTATGACTGCATACATGCATATATTGTGCATATATATAGTATATATGTATGCATATACGTGAGAGTCTAAGCACAACTCGAGAAATAAATTTGCATATATGTCTTTGTGTGTTCCTCTCTTCGTGTCGCGCTTATGATGCTCCTTACGCCCGTGTGTATCCTCACAGGCTACTGCAGCTACTACAAGCGGGCGCTGGTAGCTCTGCTGCTGCTGCTGAAAGGCCTAATGCTGCGCCACTCAAGAGGAGCAGTTTCCTTGTACCGGCTGTTTCTCGTGCTGTCACAACAGCGGAATCCCCCAGTATTCCTGCTGCTGCACATTTGGAAGCTGCTGCTGCGCGTATTGCTGCTACTGTCGCGAGTAATGCTGCTGCTGCTGCGGGTACTCGTGCTGCTGGTGCAGGCCTGCGCGTAGTGTGGTTGTGTTGACGCAGCACCTTCCAGTATGACATACATTCCTGCTGCTGCTGCAGCAGCTGCAGCTCATCAGGTGCGGTTGCTTCTTTTGCTGCCGCTATGGAGGGCCTACTAAGAGGTCCAGCCGCAGGCACACGACGGCCGCTATTCGCGCCGTCCGTCTCCTCTGCGGTAGCGGTTGCAGCAGCAGGCTTCCACAGCATCAATTTAATACGTCGCTGCCCTACTACATCGGGAAAGCAATCTATGTGTAGCAGCAGCGCTAGCTACTCTTTCTTCCCCATAGCAGCAGCAGCAGCACCTTTTCTGCCACCACCCGGTGCAGCAATACCCGCTGGAGAACCGGTCATTTGAGGTCCTGCATTCTCAGCAGCAGCAGCAGCAACAGAAGCAGCAGCAACAACAAGAACGACAGCAGCACGAGCGGCACCAGCAGCAGCAGTAGCGATAGCAGCAGCAACAGTAGCACCACCAATACCTGCAGCTGTTCCTCATACAGCAACCACAGCAGTTACTTCTGTCACAGGGGCAGCAGCGAGAGGTACTGCTCAATCGACAACAGCACCAGCAGGCGGCAATGCTGGGGCGCAAGTAGCAGCAGTAGCAGCAGAACAAAAAACAGCCACTATGGTATCTACTTCGACGTACGTATCGCATACACAGAGGCACAGCGCTCCATCTCTGCCGGAGGCGTGAGCTGCATGCGTAAGGAACTGGGGAGACTCTACAGCAGTACAAGCAGCAGATTCTTCATCTCCAACAGGAACTACACTGCGGGCGACAGCAGCGCAGTGGCATGGAGGCCGTATAGTGACAGCGGCAACGGAGACACATACAGCAGCAGAATCGAAGTTAGTAGTAGCCTCAGTGACCCCCTAGCCATCTACAGGTGCGACTGTCTTCGGGGTACGAGCCGAACTCTCCGAAGTGGCACCGCTGCTAGCAGCAGCAGCGACAGTAGCGACCCCGCTGACTACGGAAGCAGCAGCAGCAGCAGCAGCAGCAGCAGAGCTGCCACTGAGCACAACGGCAGCAGCAGCAGCAGCGATCGTATTGGCCACAGCGACAGCACCAGGAGTATCACTGGTCCTGCGGAGAGGCGGAGGACGTTGCAAAACGAGCGGCAGCAGCAGCAGCAGCGGCGGCAGGCCTTTGCAGTCGGCGGATGCTGCTTAACTTCCGCTGCGGCTTCCATGCAATATTCGTACGCCACTGACATACAGCAGCAACCGCAGCGCCGGATCCACACGATACAGCAGCTACTGCGGGCTGAACAGCAAAACTTGCGGCGCCGGTGTGGACAGCAGCAGTCGTCAGAACCGAAGCAGCTATTCGGTCGCCACATGCAGCATTACAAGCAGCCACTGACGCACCAGCAGCAGCAGCAGCAGTCCGCACATCGGCTGGAAAAACAGTCGACGCAGACCCAAGAGCAACACTCCACGCAGCAGCACGTGCCGCGCGCCTCGCAGCAGCAACAGCAGCCATCTAGAGAGCAGCAGTCCATACAGCAGCAGAAGCAGCAGTCCACACAGCAGCGGTCCTATACCGGCAGCAGAAATAGAAAGAGCCGTAGCAAGGAGAAGACAGGTGACACCCGTGCCGCTCCTGCGAAGGGGGGTGTTATCATCGCGTTGTTAGCAGCTCCTCTGGCAGCTGTCGCGTCTGCTGCAGGACTAGGTCGATCCAGTGAAGACTCAGCTTTGCATAGCAGCAACAGCAGCGGCAGCAGCCAGAACAACTACAGTAGCAATGCATTTGCACATCCTAGTCCCCCTAGCAGCAGCGACGGCAATTCTACTTGTCGCAGCCTCCACAACAGCAGCAGCAGCTCCAACAACAGCACCCTCTCCTGTCAAAGCAACAGCAAGGTCATAGGAAGCAGAGATCTATGTGCAGGGATACTAGTGCAACAACAGCAGCAGCAGCAAAACACAGAGATATATTTGCTGTGGGGTACGCGTCTTTACGGCACAACAAGACGTGCAGCAGGCACGTTAGCAGCGGCAGCAGCAGCATCTACGTCATTTCCACCCTCACCGGTAGCCGTACCACAGATGGCAGCAGCACAGCAGCAGCCACAACAGCAGCAGCGCCAGTGCAAGCAGCAGCACCAGATGCAGCAGCAACACAGTCCTGTACAGAGGTTACTGCAGGTCCCAAAGGTACAGGAGAGACGCTACAGGGCGACAGAGGAAGCGGTGCGAGTAATAATGCTGCTCCAACGTGCGGCAAAGACGAGGGTGAAACTGCAGGAGAAGCAGGAGGAGTAGGAGAGGCAGGTGCCGGAGAGACTACGCGCAGCCGGGCTTCTACAATAGTGTCTTTCTTCAAGCGGTTCGTTATTACCAGAGAAAAATACATAGAAAGGAAATTTCGTGGAGGGGCGACCGAATACAAACGCATGCCTTCGGGTGAGTAGCATGTTTCTTTTTTGGTGTATGTGCACCACAGATGAAAGGAAAAAGGCAACGGCTTTGCCCCATGTCTGACCAGGTGAACGTGCATCCGTTAGGTATGTGTCTATTACAAGGCTTTCCTAGTTCAAGGCAGAAATATATATGTAGAGGCAGTAGTACTTCCGTGGAGCCACGACAGAATACGTTTATATCCCATCAAGGCGGTTGTGCGCCTATGTTCGGTGTACATGCAGCACACATGTAGCGAGACGACAGCTTCATAGTGTCTCTTCTTTAAAGTCTGTATATGCCTCTGTTGCACATCACCGTGTCCGTGCAGGCTATGCGCCAGCTCCTTACGTAATGCTAACACGTTGCAGACGATTGGATCTGCTGCAGATACCGCCATGCTGCTGCTGCGAAAGTCACACTTACATATATATACATATATGTATCTATATATGTGCATATATTTATATATATGGTAGTGTACCTTCCCACGTCGTTGTTATACACATATGTGTGCATGTGTGTCCTCGTATCTGCGCATGCTCTGCAGATGCTGCTATGCTGCCTTTAGCAGGGGCAGCCACAAATACGAACACATGTATGCGTAGTCTGCAGGTCCCGTCATACTGCTACGAGCAGCCACGCGTTTGAATACATCCGCGCTTAGTCTGGATGATTGAAAATCAGTCAACACACGAGCGAAGATGGTACTTGCCTAGCTATATATCTACATTCTTGTATGGAGAGAGAGAGCGCGAGAAAAAGAGGAGAGAGAGAAACGGAGAGAGAGCGAGAGAGGTACGGAGTGAGAGACTACGCACATAGCGCGTGTCTGTATAAAGGTGCTCCTGCGCATATCTATATAAATAGAGATACGCAGAGTACCGCTAGAATGTGCGCCCAGCCTTCTAATGCCTCTGTTGAGGTCTTAGAACGTGTACGTGCAGCCGCGACGTAGGCAAAGCTCCGCCCCTTCTGTCTTGGTGCGGGATGACGCCGGTGTTGCCCTTTCCTTCCTTTTCCTTTTTTTTCCTGTGCTGCTGACTCCTGTCTCTGCGGCAGCTTCTTTCTTTGCTGCTGCTGTTGCTGCTGCTTGCAGTCCTCCGCCGTGCGCAAGAACCTCCCTCCGTCTATCTCGTCTGCTGCCACTTTCTTTGCTGCGGTTCTGCTTGTCGAATTCTCTCTCGTTTGGCCCGCACTACCACTATCCTTGCTGTGCTCTCAGCTGGTGCTTCCCTTTCTTACGCTCCCGCATTTGCTGCTCCACTTATATATGTCGGTGATTTCTATGTACTGCTTCTCTCGAATATGCGGTTGCTCTCATCTTTGCTGCTGTCTGTCTGTTTCTCTGCATTTTGCATCTCTCCTTTCACCCTCTCTTCTAGTCACGGGGTCACGCACGCTATGTGGGGCTTGGTTTCGATACGCCGCTTATGGCCCCTTTGCTTCAGTCTACCTGTTTGCTCTTTTTTCACCTCTTTCTTCCTTCTTTGTTCTTTTGTTACGATGTGATGTGTGGCTCTGCGCGCTGCTTCTCTTTGACAGGCGGTTGCTCTGCTCTTTGCTGCTACCGTTACATGGACACTTTTCACTCCCGCCTTTGCCACTCCTATTTATCCTCTCTTCCATCGCCGCCGTGCAGGTATTCTGTGTACTGCTTGCCTTCGTAGCGCAGCCGCTAGCTCTTTTGCTGCTGTCATTCTGTTGCTTCCTCTTCTCCCGCCATTCTTCATTCCTCTGCTGTCATCTACCGTACGTTGCTGATGCTTACCCCTGCTGGGCTACGTGCTTTCTCTTATTCGTAGGGTACGGACGGGCGAGACTGCTGCTATATACGTATATCTATGTCTTCACAGACTCCTCGTGACCTACAACTACCAGAGGCCTTCTCCTTGGTCCTGTGTACCTGCGGCTTCTCTATCCGCGTCTGCTGTAGCGACCCCTCCCTGCTGTTTATTCGCTCCTGCTGCTGCCGGTCCTGCTGGTGCTGCTTCGTGTGCGTGTCTTTACATGTGCGACTGTTGCTGCTACTGTAGGCATCTATTACAAAGACGTACAGGAGGGCTGGGGAGACAGAGAAGCAAAACCAGGTGATATTGTGTGGCTGCAATATGAGGGCAGGCGCAGTACCAATGATCAGCTTTTTGAGAGTACGTTTCAATCGGGTGTACCGGGGGCTACTGCTTTGTTCTACCGCCTGTAAGTATTGGCTTCTGAGAATCTTTTGGTTGTATGTTTTTATCTACTCTCGCTTAAATTACTCCGTGGCCTTCTCGAATGATCCTCTTTTTGAATATTTTGCCGGCGCCTACGCGCTACCTCTGCCGGTTCCGAGTTTTTCTTCTTTCTCCGGTCCACTTCTTGAACGTAGATTCGGGCGACGTTACCCGCGCCTGCTCGTTTCCGTTGCCGGTCTCTTCTTGCTGGATCATCAAACCGTATCAATGCTTTTTTGAGCATAGTTGGTTTTTACCTGCTTTTCTACTGTCTTTGAGGATTGTCTTCTGAGACCATCAATCTTGTAAAACTGTACTGCCCCTCCGCATATGTTCATTCTCTTGGGTGTATTGTCTTCGCAGATGAACACCAATGTGAACGTACACTTCAGTCTGCTCTGCCGACATCTCGTTTCTTTTACCGCGTATAAGTATTGGCCTCCGACGTGAATTTTTGTCAGTACACTTAGACAGGGAGGTCTGCGGTATAACCTCTAGAATCGCCCGAAAAAAATACTCGCGCTTTGAGAGTTATCTTTACCCACTACTGCCGCTGCTGCTACAGTGCTGCTGCCGGTGTCCTCTCTGTGATGCTGCTGCCGTTAAATGCGTGGCGCTGCTGCCGCTGCCTCCTGTGCTACTGCTTCCCTTCGCGTGCTACTGCTACCAGTGTCACATTGGTGCTGCTGCTGCTGCTACTGTTGTCCTGTCACAGCTACTGATGCTGTTATTACTGTCCCTATTGTACTGTTGCTGCTGCTATTGTGATCCTCTCGATACTGGTGCTGCTGCTATTGTTGTCCTTTCGTGCTACGGCTGCTGCTTAAGTTGTCCTCCCGGCGCTACTGCTGCTGCTGCTGTCGTCAACTCGATGGTGCTGCTGCCGCTCTTGTCCTCACCGTGCTGCGGCGGCTGCTGATGTTGCCCTCTCGGTGCTGTTGCACGAAAACTCTCTCTTCAGTCGGTTACGTACGTGTCTGCTGCGTGTCTGACGCAGGAAGACCGCCCTTCTGTCTCTATGCTGTCCTGTGTCTACCCAAGGGGTCGCGTATTTCTTTGCGTTGTTGCCATCTCTACTGGTGCTTAGATTTAAGTTTTATCTACCTTTTGTGTATTTGTAGTATGCAAGTGCGTCGCAGCTGGCGTTGCTGCTGATGATAGAATCTGCTGCTACAACAACACTCAGCGTTGGAAGATGCCGACGCTAGCAGACGTGCCGCTGCCGTCGCTGTAACGGATGCTGGTGACAGTCGGTATCTCTACTGTACAGGAGGCGTCTTCCTGCATACTGTAGAGGCTTTTCGTAGGTTGTGGCGCCCGCCTGTGATTGCCCCATGTGCGCTCAGAAGCATAAGTAAGTACGGATCCACTGAATTTGTGGTGAGCTTCCCAAGTGCTCGCCTTTTGATTATGCTTCCTCAAGCATCTAGGCGCGTTTGCCGAGATTTCTTGCTGTTGGCCGCGGTACAGCTAGTGCTTCTGCTATGTTTCTAGGTCGTCGAGGTGCTAGTACTTGCACTGCAGTTGCTGTTCATTCGTCGACTCTCCGGTAGACCTGGAGCTTTTCTGCGCATTTTGAGACATATAGTACTTGCATCGCAGATACCACGCGTTTGATTACTCTTCGGTCTGTCTAGTGCTTCTCTGCCTCCCTCCGTCCTTGAGGTGCATTCAGTACTTGCACTGCAGCTGCTGCTGTATTACTGGCTCCTCGAAGGATTCCAGCGCGTCCGCTATGTGACTACATCTTTAGGATACCTACTACGTGCACTGCGGCTGCCATTCTGCTTGTTACGATTCGCGACTTTTCTCTTTCGCCGGCACACGTAGACACGAGCTTATTGACCTCATAGCCACCTTTCACATATGCTGCTTAATCCTAGCTACTTATGCCTTCCAGCGCACGTAGAGACGTCGTCGTTTCGACTTCGTGGCTGCCTTTCGCATCTGTTGTTTGCTCCCCGCTGCGTTTCTTCTAGAGGACACCTAGAGACAGCCGGCCCTATTAATGCGTAGCTACCCTCGGCCTCTCTTGTTTGCTCCGCAGTACTTCTCTTGTTCAGAGCACACAAGACAGGTGTCATTTTAGCCACCTACCTTACTTCCACGCTACTTGCTTGCTCTTAATCATTTATCCCGTCCAGCGCACGTAGGGACACTAGTCGGTTCAGCTGTCCAGGAGCCTTCCACCTCTTGCTCAGCCGCGGGCTGCTTCTGTTCTCCAGCAGACATGCAGAAGCTCGCTGTATAGGTACCTAGCAACGATGCGCGTCTCTTGACCTTACCACAGAATGCAACAACGGCGCAGCACCCAGCGATTTATACGAGTTTGCAGCAGTGACCTATATGTCCACGCCAGCCCTCGTTGTAAGAAAAAGCAGGATATGTAGACGTCTATCATTATGTGAAGTTGTGAAAGATACGCAGACAACGGGATCAATAGAAAAGAGTTGTCGATATAAAGCCGTCTGTGTTACTGTAAGGGATTTTATGTCAGATAGGCATCTGTGTAATTGTTGGAGAATGTCTCACATATGGACATCTGTCTCATCGTAGAACATTGTGCTTTACGCAAACATCTATCGGCGTCTCTTTAACAATCCGCCACAGTGCCCATCTCAGCCGCTCTCGCTGCTGCTTGTTGGTGTCAGGGTGCTGCTCGTGTTGGTGTATGTATTTACGTATATATACGGACCGAGAGCAAAAAAGAGAAAGAGAGAGGGCGAGAACGCCGCATGTGCAGCTCTTATTGCCGTCTGTTTTCCCTTCTGCCGTCGTGCATTATCTCAAGATATATGCTCGTTGTTGTGCGGCGGGTGTGGCTCCCGGTGGTATATATATATATATATATATATATATATATATACGTATATACATATATATGTGTATAGCGGGCTCAGCGTGTACAAATTTTGTTGCAGTCTCTTTCTTCAGCTGCCGCTGTGTATCACTTCAGCGATTTATGCAGCCGCTTGTTGTTGCCATCTCCTCGGCAGCTGCTCTCCTCCTGCGATGTGCATGTATCGAGCGTCTGCTGCTTTCGAGCCTGCCTCTCCCCGACGTTGTCTGGATTTGCATGCAGATTCGGAATGGAAGATGCGCTTCGTGTTCCTAGCCAGGGTATGTATGTCCGCTTTTGCTTAGAAAATCCAGGTTCTTCCTCTTCCTCATCCTCTACTCACGGCGGCTCCGGCAACCACAGCAGCGCTGTCAACTGTAACCGAACAGACAACGCCTCTGGAGGAAGGAGCAGCAGCAGGAGCAACAGCGACAATGACAGCAGCAGCAGTCTCTACAGCGATCTCGTCAGCAGTTTTCATCACACCTCCGTCAGCATTCCTAACAGCCTCACGGTCAGCAGTCCCGACACAGACACCATCCGCAGTTCTGCGAACGAGGCCACCAGCAGTTCTGGTAGCAGCACCACCAGTAGTACTGACAGCAGCCCTATCAGCAGGAGGGGAGAGAGATATTCTGCAGCTGAAAAAGGAAACAAGGAAGGGCGGTATGTGTTCTCTTCCATCGAGAGGCCTACGCTTTGCATCACTGAAGCAGCGCCCGCAGTAAGGCCAGAAGCAACAGAGACAACAGCAGATCAAAAAGAGGAAACAGGATCATGCGTGGCAAGGGAGAAGCTCCTTTCACACGAAAAGGTGCTGAGCGGCAAACAAGCGAGGGATGACTATTTAGCAGCAGCGGCAGCAGCAGCAGCTAAGTGGAAGACGGAAGCAGCCGCCACGGCAGTGACAAATACAACGACTGCGACGGGGACCAAGGAAACGGCAGCATCCGCAGAAAAAGGCAAAGGACACGAGGAGATGAAAAGGACGTGTGCAGGACCTGTATTCGACAACGTCATCCCTGCTCTGCACCAGGGCGTCGTGGGCATGCGTGTCGGAGGTAGTCATCTCTCTTTATGACACGTTACCCCCTTCATAGCTTGTATATATTTTACCCGACATACATGCGTGCCTCGCATGAAGGCGTACTCGGCACGCAACTTCCTTACAGGCTACTCGCTTCAGCATTGAGAATTTCCTTATTGCACATGTATTCGTACACGTACAGCTGAAGGCGATGCAGAGGATGCGAAGTAACGTAAAACGAATTTTAGAAGTCTTGACAAGAAAACAATGAAAGCACCAGTCGGCTGTGGCTGGCTCTTTATTGCGCACATATGCAAATCCTCGCCGCTGGGGGGGGAGGCGAGTGATGCGAAGTGCCTGCAATCTTCACAAGAAGGACACGCAGGTGACGACCCTTTCCTACGAACTCCGATGTTTTCGCACCGATGTGTGCGTGCTACTGTGTTGCGACACGTATGACGATTCCATGTGCAAGTGCCTGTCTTTACTTCTGGGGTGAATACGTAGCCACGTAGTGTGCTCAGACAGGCTCCCTCTGTAGGTCAAAAGGTGAACCGTTTAGGTTGGTCGCACCGCAAACGGCAGTCACTTTGTCTACACACATAAATGTATAAAGATAGAGATAGGTATAGGCCAAGAAGGCTTAGCGTCGTCTTCTGCACGTGCAAGTGTGGGGCTGTACGTCTATGCGCAACGCGTAGTCGAGTGGTGTCACCAGACAAGTCTTGTCCCAGCAAGGTTAACATCTTTTTCGTTACCTGGGTCGCGGAGCGATTCCGGTCATCCGCGTGTACACGCAGACAGGCGCTTAGAGATATGCATCTCGGGTTCCGGCTTACTGGCGTACTGTGCAACCGAAAATGCCTGTCTGTATGTGCAAAGCGTAGTCAGGTGGTGTCATCGGGCGAGTCGTTTTCCTATGTACGATGACACGTGAGCCACCTGTACTGGTCACACTGCAGATCCCGGTCATTATTGTGCGTACTTATGTACATATATATATATATATATATATATATATATATGAATATGTATATATGTATGTATTTATGTATCAGCGCCACTCTCTGCACTGCAGTCCACGTCAATTCATTACTAGAAAATTTGTTTATTCGCATATGCGTAGCTGGCTTCTGTACTGTGGCGGCTTGCCCAGATTTCTTTCTGTCACACCACCCTGCAGAGAAACCAGAATTTTACTGGAAAGCGCAAAAAGAGGAAGTGAGGCGGAGACGGAAACATAGCGCGGGGCATGCAAATCTGTGTTCCTACTTTTTGTCCGAACTCTGTGGTGTACGTACGCAACTTTCTCAGGTGTGCGAGAGCTCATCATACCACCGCGCCTGGCCTATAAAGAGCTATGTGACGAGGTGCGTCTTTTCCTTCACCCTGCCTTCTTCGGCAGACACAGCAAACGGTAGCTCTGATGACAGACGCGCTGCTGTGATACGGTGAGTCTCCACGAGTTTGAAGGCCTCGCTGGACACACCTGCAGCCGTTTACAGTAGGCATGCCTCTACAGTACTTGTCCAACCTGTGTGTTGTCCACTGCTGTGTCCCTGGGTACATGTGCATCTATCTAACGAATATGTGGCTGAGCGCGCGATAGGATGCCTGCTCGGGCTACGTACTGCTCGCCAGGCTACCCAGAGTACAGACTTTCCATTTGCCCTCTTAAATGTACAGAAGGCCCCGCCGCCGCTTCTCTTTCTTCTGGACGAGCCCGTGTGTATTGCACGCCTGCGCCCGCGTGCACACGGACGTCAGCATCTAATTATTAGTCAGACGAACTGGGAAAGCTACTACGAGAAGGTCCCTTGTGTGCGTCTGCTTGTATGGCAGGATCTCCTGCCTGTCAGTGCTCTTTCCGTCTTTTCTGCTGTACGAAAACAGGCATCCACTATCCGGCGCCGGTGGGTAGTATGTGTGCCTAAGTCGGCGAGCAGTAGTTTGCCCTTTAAAGACGTGCGTGGACACACTCACGTCTGAAGTGTCACTCACGGTCTCCTGATCACTTGCAGCCGCAAAGGTTTGATGGTCCTGCTTGGCGGAGTAACACAACCTGGCACCATGCGGCATCTGCTGGGTGCGGGTACTGCCCTGTCGCGCCAAGACGTCGTAAAGAAGGCGTGGGCAGACGCGAGTCGAGGTGGGGGGCGCTCACACCTAGCCTCTCGCTAGTCGTGTACAGGCCTCCACTTGTTGGAGTTAGAGGACATCATATCGTGTGATTTCTGTCCTGACTGCTGCTGCATTGCTCGCCGGCGCCTCTACACACAGAGCCGGACTGACGTTCGTTGAGAGGGACGATGCTGGCAACTACTGTCTCGCTATTCTGGCACAAGCGTCTAGTTGGGTGTGTAAGAGATCACATTCTCTTTGGCATCCATTAAAGATGGAATTACCCATCCACTACACTGCCGCGCCAGCACCTCTGGAAAAAGGGTGGGCTGACGCGAATCGAGAAAGACGATTTTGACAATTACCATCTCGCTACTCGTGCGCACATCCGAGCAGCGAAAATGGTTTTCGAGGAGTACTGATTCTGTACGTCTTGATGAAGAGTGAGGCAGCAAGGACTGAACGCGAAGGCATGTAGCGCTGGTTGACTGAGTTTGCTGCGGCTCTGGTACGTTCGTAGAGCAGATAAAGGTGTGCCACCGGGACCGCGTTGCTGCACGCACCTGCCTATAAGCGGACGCCTGCGTACGCCTGTCCGGGAAAGGTATAAGTCGCAAAAGTGAAGCCATGCCCGAGCAGCAACGCGGGTGACTTCTGCGGGAAAGTTTCAAGACAAGTAAAATAAATGTGGTCTGCAGGCACGTGAACAGCACTTGCCGTGCAGTGAAAGCGATGGTTTTCTCTGGAAGCGTCACTATGTGTACTTGAACAAACTATAAATATGTGTGGATATATCGATGATCAGCGTCTCTCCGTTTGGCTCGATACGCCTACACATCTACCCGTCTGCAAAGTCTCTCCGTTGCCACGGCTTTAGGTCGGCTTCTTTTCTAGTATATGAAAAAGTGCGTAGTAGCCTGCGTTTGCTCGAGTGGCGTGCAGCGGCACCTTGTCCACGTGTGTGTGATATCTGCATTTTAGATCGTATTCTTTGCGTGCCTAGACGCAGTATGACCTCTCTTTTTCGTGCGGCTGCTGCATTGCTGCTGCTGGTGGTACTGCTGCTGCCTGGTGTAAACACTGGCGGGGATGACCTACGTGTTTGACTGCAGGTATTGATCTACGAGGTCTACCTATGCTGGATAGGAGAGGCGATGCCGCGCCGCCCGAGTTTGTCCAGCCGTTTGCAGCGTGTCCGTGATGCTTTGATGAGCACGAGATAGACTTCCCCTCCGGCCTGCCCCGCACGGGAACCCCGCCATCTGCGCCTTGGGTTCCCTCGCCAGCGGCAGCAGAAGTCTCTACTCTGGACAGGCTGCAGAGTCTATTACTTTCGTGCACGGTATCACGCACCCCGGACTTGCTTGACTGCGAAGAAGGGAAGCCGCGTGACAGATACTTGTACCTTTCTAACGTCTCCGCTAAGTCCGCAAAGGGCGATGCCGGCCGTCTGCATGAGACAAAGATCATTCACTCGTCTGCACGTGCACGAGGAGTAATGGCGCAAAATCGCCCTCTTGTCCGCATCTACTGGCAGCCCTGTGCCTGACCGTGTGTATTTTCGCCAAGATAAGGGCTCCCAGGAACATAAAGGAGGAAACAAGTGAAGTACACTTAGCCGGAGCTCCGGAGCGTTCTTTTTTTTGCATCTACTGGTAATGCTGTGACTGACTCCGTGTCTTCTCGCCACGAGGCTGGCTTGAAGAAACATTAAGGTAATCCAAGGGAGAACCGAATGAAGTACACTGGGTCCAGAACACCGGAGGCGCCTCCGGTACCTCCGTCTCTTACACCCGAATGCGTCAAAGTTCCGTGCTTCAGGGTGCAACAGGAGATAATATAAGAGCCTACCGTGCGGTAGGGAGCTCTCTCCTGTACACGTCAAAGGTCGTGCACGTGCTGCTTTCGGGCAGGCCCTACCTTCTACTAATCGGGTTGTGCATATACAAGACACACGAAGCTGCCTTTCAGCCAGAGGCTGCGTCTGCCGTGCTGCCTGCAAGATTTTTTGTAGGAACAGACTTTGTTGGGGATGGTAGAACCCGGGACTACTAGGGTGCAGCCTGGCACCGGACGCGCCCTAGAACCGCTTTGCTTGCAGAACCATCGAGCGGCCGCAGAGATTGGATCCTATTCTAAAGACAGCACGGTGTGTGTGCCAGTGTTCAGCGATTGAGGCTGTCCTCATGGAAGGCAGCGCAGAAATAGGTGTCTAATCCCGATGCTCTGACTGAACCAAAACCGATGTGTGCGCACTAAGGGGGCATGCCTATGACGTCTTTGGCTGTATGGGGGCCCTGCTGTGCGTCCCCTTGGCACACGTATCTTCGGTGGCGATCGTGAAGGCCAAACGATCTCTTCATGGTCTTGTGGAGCCTACGGTCCTTCGCGAAGCTCATTTTTAAACACACGTGGTCCTGTCTGTGGGGGAGTCAAATCCCGCGGCACACACGTCTAACTCTGGAGGCGACATCGCTGGAAGACGCGACACGGGGAAAGTTCACGGTTAAATCTTTCAGTCAGTCAGCGCAAAGCCGTGCTTTGAAAGTAAACACAGCTGCGGGCGCCTGCCAGCTGCTCACTCCGGGGCAGAGTGGGCTTTACCAAACGAAATATGCTTTCGATCCCGCAGCGGGCCACGGCGTGCGCTGAAATCTTCTCGTTGGAGGAGCTTGGTTTCCCCGTCTTCTCTGCGCGTATAAGGCAGCTGCAGGCAGTTCAGGGTTCCTGTATGTTATACTGATAATACATCCTCTCCTAGTGGAGGCGTCAACGACACAGTTGCCGCTGGCGTGCTTATTTTACGAAGCCTACCGTTGTGCCGACTCAGTGGTGGATCGAAAAATGGTAGTTCCCCCACTCTGTGGCGTCTACCGGACATTTCGCGTCCAAGGTTAGGTGCAGTACCATACTGGCTGATGCGACGTGTAGTTTCGCATAGGGCACCACAGAATCCCACTCGCTAAGCAGGAAGCTGAGGACATTTTGCAGATTCGGTCCTCCTAGCTCCCGGCGCGAGATGGATCTTTGCAAGACGTCCGTGGATGAAAGCACCTGTGTCATCGAGTCATCCTAGGGCCGGCCCCCCGCACATATCAAGTGGCGCAGCCGTTTACGCCACTACGCAAGGAGAGCTCACTACGTGTACTTCAGCACTGTAAGATTGCATGAGTAGGTTCGCATTGGCTACACCCAGCGTATAGGGGAGCATGGCCGCAAGAAGGCCACAACGATTGCGCCCTTGGATAAGACGGAAGAACTTGTGGTTAAAGAAAACGTTGCGTGCTGCACGAGCTGCTGCAGCTTACTGTCCTTGTCTGGTGTTTTATAAGACTGACGAACTTGTAATTAAAGAGCGGTGGGTGTTGCACGAGCTGCTGCAGCTTAGTGTCATGGGCTGGTGTTCCTTCACCTGCACATGTTACGGCCCACTTTCGCCGCGTGAACTCCGCGCTCTCGCTGTCTGGAGATGAAGCCGTGGTTATTGCTATTATTATGCAGTGCTTCATGAGGCTATTGCACGACAGAGTTGCGACAAAGTCGCCCGAAAGGAGCGGCTGGTGACTAAGGAAACATGTAGCAAGCCGCCACATAAAACAGCCTTCGTGGCTTTCCATGCATAGCGGCTGGTGACTGAGGAAACATGTGGCAAGCCGCCACATAAAACAGCCTTCGTGGCTTTCCATACATTTTCTCGTGATGTTTGACGCAGATGTTTCACAACCAGACAAAATGATCAATGGCACCCAGACCTGCAGTAGCGTCGCAACCGCAAGGAAGTGCGCGCCATCTGAAAAAAGTATATCCGTCCTCACAGTGAACAAAGCTCAAACAGAAGGTTTTGCAGCACATCCCTGCTGTCACACAAACTTGCGTTAGCGTCGCATCCGCAAGGAAGTGCGCGGCATCTGAAAAAGTATCTCCGCCCTCACGGTGAACACTGCTCAAACAGAAGGATGCGTTCGAAGATTTGCAGACATATTCCTGCTCGTAAGACTGGCAAACCGTATTGCATGCACGAGGGCTCCTTTGCATGATTACAATCAATAAAGTCATGTTCTGGCCGAGAGCGAAAACCAGATCTTCTAATGCTCGTCCGTGCGCACACACACAGTGACGTGCTCACAACAACCGAGGCTTATATGATACTTTTGATGCCACATAGCAGCGGAGGACACGGAGAATGAATGTTTCCACTTTCGTCTACCGTGCGTCACTGTCGCTTTCACTCGTCCATCGCTAATAATATCCCTGAGCTACGCTTCTACTCGGGGTACACCCGGTGCGGTCCAGTGCGGCGGCAACCGATTTGCACAATAGAAGTTCCTGCATATACCATCATCATTTTTTGCGCCTCTGACCATCCCAACGCTGGAGTCACACATTCGAGAGCAGGCCTCTGTCAGGAACTGTATAAGGAGGATACCCAGACTGTCAATAGAGGTTTCCTGTAGTCAGCACAGCCGGTGCTCCCTTAATAATCTCTGTCCTTTGTGTGAGTGATCTCGAGTTGCTCGGAAGAACGTACTGCCGCGCAAAACCTGCTCTGCGGGCCCGTCGAACGCCGTCGCTTTCCCCAACGGGACTGGCAGCGTCTTCGGCACGTCCCCGAAGGCCGAGTGCCGTCAGGGCCTCTAGTGCTGTCTGGGTCTCTCTCCCCCCGGTGGCCGCATCGGGAAGGTGAGGAACAGAATCACTAGCTCGGGGGGATATGCTTCTCCCCTCGCCCATCGGCCTACCTCCAGGAGCACTGAGCAGGCCGCCAAACATTGTGGTTCCTCCTCCAGATTCATCTCTCCGCGGAATCACGGGGTTCATCTGTATAGGTAGACGAAAGGGGGACACCGCTAGTGTTCTCGCGTTTTGACACGTTCCCCGCCCGTCTGGCCGTGTTGGTCCGTAGGAACCGTTAATGGGGATCAAGCACTGCAAATCCTCGCAGCAGAGAGTACCCGCCGCGCACGGCTGCCCCGATGTTCTGCAAATACTAACTGTACTCTGCGAGAACGGGGAACCGAATATTGCAGAGCTGAAGAGCTGCAGAGCTCGCGACGAGGCAGCGCGGAGTGCCTGAGCAGGACCTCCACTGTCGGGTGCTGTGCGGATCGAAAGCACAGAGCGAGCCGAGCAATACAAAGATGGACGCCAGGATGTCGACACAGAAGAAACAGAAGGAGTGCGGGTGAGGCGCGTGACAGAGAAGACAGGAGAGGGCTGGAAATGATACGGGTGTTACTGGAACGGAGAAGCCGAGCTAGAGATGACAATAGAGTACATGCGTGCCCGAAAGGCAGCAGGGGGACAACTGTCGTCAGCCGTGACAGGAGCGGTCTGACATGTGCTGATCGGTGCGGCGAGCCGGAACCGTGTCTCAAGGCGACGTGAACCACAGTAGTCGGCAGGACACTTCCTTGAGGAGACGGGAGGCGACGCCAGCCGTTGCCACACAGGTCGTGTCCAACGTTCATAAGACTGACACTACGCGGCAGCTAGTGGGCCCCGGTGTTGGAACGGAAGGGTGCTACCGTTTTGCTGGCGCTGCTAGCAGCTCGGATCAGGGGGAGCACTACCACAGAGGTCGAGAGAACCACGGCAGAGCGAATGCTTGTGCACAAGCTCAACTGCAAGTGAGCTTTAGTAAAACTCTTCATGCTTCTGCCGTTTACGCACTGATACCCGATGCACGCTGACGACGACGACGACGAGGACAAAGTGTGCGGCTCCGGCGCACAGCAGAGAAAGTGCTTCTGAGGCTGCGCGCATTCAGGAACGGAAGCACAGCCCACTGCGACCCGCCACAGCGCTTCCCTGCAGGAGCTTAATGAGCCCGTAGCTGGTGTTTACCGTGTGTCTGTGCGCTGGCGGCGATGTGAAGGGTACACACCACAGAAAAGTGCAAGTCGGACTCAGTCTCCATGTCACAAGGAACGCAATGTGGTAATGGAGCCTGAGACGGTCAAGGAATCTAAGTGGTGGATGTGTCTGGGAAGACTATGGTAGCATTGCAGCAAACGGTGCGGAGCCTAGACACATACTACGGAAGCAGAGATAGGCAAGCGGTAACCTTGGCGGCTGCAGCTCTCCCCTGCAACGTTGTCATGCGCGTGACTTCCACTCCTGGCTGTCCATGGCGCTGACATATTCTGCGACGCTTTGTGGAAGTCTGCCACGGGAACTCCGTCAGACGACCGAGCTATGCGTACGACCGCCTGCGTAAACGTCAGTCTCTGTGTCTCGAGTATGCGCTTAGGCTCACGCAATTCACCGACGCAGTAACAGTCCAGCGCCTGTCACAAAGGACTTCCAGATCCTCTCGGAGATGGCGCACAGAGAGCAGGAGGGGGCGTACTCCACGCCGCATCAGCAGCTGTTCGCGTACGGTAGAGAGGGGAGGACCACGAGCTGGAAGCAGCGTGTGGACATAGAGTGTGACAGCAGGATAGTACCGCTGCGCCGCGCAGTCGCTGACGTGAGCGACATAGCTGTAGGCAGAACTGTAGAGATCATGAATTGCACTTTCCTTTGCCTTCCGTATAAGGAGAAGTCACATTGTTGTCTGTGTGTATGTATGTGTGTGTGTATGGAGGGACGGACGAATGGATGGATGGATGGATGTACCTACGTATGTACGCCCGTGGGTATATATATGTTTCTCTGCTGTTTGGCCGTCTGTGACCTTATTCAGAGGCAGGTCTGCATGCGTGGATATACTTGTCTATGTGTATGCGTCCTACCGTACATGTGCCTGTACACCTCGTGTGCGGGTATGTGTCTGCAAGTGTGTGTGTGTACGGCTGTACGCAAGTACGTCTGTATACGTATATATATTTGGGATGACTGAGTCTACATGTGCATTTGTTCGAGAGGGCGAAGCAGCACGCATCGACCTGTGCGCGTGCGCACGTATATTTTCAACGATGTCTTCGTATGTGTCTGCGCAGAGGCTCACTTCGCCTATCAATGCATCGGGTTGCCTGTCGTTGACGTGCTCCGCGTGAATGAGTATGCACCTCATTTTTTGCCTTACGGCGCGTGCGTATACGCTGGAAAGCGTGTCACACAAAGTCCGTTTTTCTTCTACAACAGCAGAGTCGGGAAAGCTAGCAGGATGCCAACTACTACAGTTGCGACCCCCGACGTGGCATACGAGCCTTGCGAAAGACGACTTCGTCCCGCTATCTCTGGATGATTCGCCGGTGTCCGCGCACAGGCGCTAAACCGTATTACAAACACCTGTGCGCAGGTCCTTTCACATAGGCTACATTTCCTATTTATCGTTAAGGCACGTAACTGTCCCGTATATCACGGAGGGTTGGTCATCGGGATGAATGCTAGCGCGTGCTGCCACGTAAGCTGCCGTCCTACCTCTCGATGCACTCTCACCTGCGCTTACGGTCCGCGGGGTGGGCGGCCGTGGAGAATGCTGCTTCTGCGCAGCGCGGCCTACGCCTTTCTTCTTCTTATAAAGAGGGGGTCCTTCGCTCTTGGTCTTTTGCAAACGTGCATGAGTCCCCGGGTGCTGCAGCCTTGACTTCTTGAAGACGGAGATGTTGCGTAGCTTTGGATGCTTTTCGTTCTGTTGCTCCAAGTCGCGCCTTACCTTAGGCACCTCCTCTTGTTGCTGCTGAACGTGTTTCATCCGTGCGTGTAGTTTTTCCTCGTATTGCTGTTTTTCCTGCTGCGTATGCCTTCGCCTTGTATGTTCGGGGTGAGGCTGGTCCGCGCCTTGCTCCGTTTTTACAAATGAGTCGCTCCCGCCAAACGATGCTTGCAGTCGTTCATCCCCGTCGTGCTCGTGAGTTGGTCTAGCCACACTATCTCCCGCTTCCCGCAACAGCGCAGACTCTTCTGCAGGATGTTCCATTGTACCGGCCGACGTGGCCCAACGCTGCACCTTCTCTTGAGAGGGATTTCGCTTTGTACAGGAGAGCATATTTGTGCATCCTTCGGCTCCCTCCGCACGATGCGTCTCACATAGGCGTGCTGGCCGTGCTGTAGCGGTCGCTCTCACGGCGCCTGTGTCAGGTTTGACGCTGCCTGAGCGAATTGCTCTTCCTGGCGTTGGCACCATCACGCTGTTCTTCTCTTCAGGGCGCCTTGTAGGGCAATTTCTTTTTGTCTCTCGCGGGGTGCCCCAGTGTTCTTCTTCCTTCACTGCACTAATTTGTGAAGCAGTCGGCAGCTCCAGCAATACAAACGTTGACAGACTTGGATACACTGCCGCGTGGGGACTTGCTCTGTCACCTGACGTCTCGGTAGCTGGACGCTTCTGGTTTTCGGAAGGGGGGTGTTCTGTTCGAAACTTGCGTTCGCGCTGTCGCCGTTCCACTGCTGTGGCTTCGTTAACGCTCTCGAGGGCTGTCGCGCCTGCGCTTCTGTGGCTATTCCTCTGTCCTTTGGTCCCGGGAGCCCGCTTAGCTTTCTCTCTGTTAGACGTACGTGCCAAACTCGCCGACCTTGCGAGGGAGTCTCCAGCTAGCCCGACGGGCTGCATGACTGGACCCACCCGCACGCCATCTTGCTGTTCACTCTTCTGCTGTTTCCCCTCTTCTTCGCTCGTGTATTCGCCATACGCTGGAGTGTCGCTGATCCTGTACTGGCGGTGTGAGGCGAACAGCGCGGAGTCTTCTGTGGATGCAGCTGGGAGCAACGAAGCGCCCTCCGAATGATCCATGGAAATTTCAGAAGGACGTGGCGCACGATTGTGCGTGGTATCCAGAGAATGTAAGGCTGTCGGTGTGCGTGAAGCGCTGTCTGCATCACTTTTGTTCTCCGCGACATTCCCGTCCTCTCTTCGGTCTTCAGCGTCGCTCGCCTTTCCCTTAACGTCTGTCTCTCGACGAAGACGTTGCGCTGATTGCTCCTGAGGCAAAAGTGTGTCGTTATGTTTCTGCGACTGCGGGAGACGCGCGGGGGCGCGGCTGTGGCCCGTGCTCGCGAGCCTTTGCTTCGTCCTGTATAGGCTCTGTATTCGCTGTACCACGCCGCTCCTGTGCTGCTGAGTCGTGTGATGCCGTGGTAGTACTTTGTGTAAGAGGTTGGAGCTGCGGATCTTGCAGGGCAAGATGTATCTGCCTCAGCTGATAAAGGCTTCCGGAGCTTGCTAACAAGGATAAAGATTCGGCCTCTGAGCCGTCAGACGTAGCCATACGCGGAACGGGTACATTGTGCTCGATGGACGGCCAAGCGGATGTAAACGGCGTAGCGAAGGACGCTGCGGGGATCTTGGCCGAATCCTCTCCAGCGGCAAAGATGTGCGGGTTTAGCGCAAGCAGTTGAGTGGTCGCTTCCTGCAGGCGGTTCCACTGGAGGAAGCTTTCAAACAGTGGGTAATTGTCAGCTGCGCATGTGGCTCGACCGGCTTCACTAGTGGGCACAAGTGATAGATTCTGCTGCTGCTGGCGCTGGTGCATCCTCTCTTGTTGTTCTTTTTGCTTACCTTGCTTCTTTACAAGCTGTAGCTGCTGCACAAGCTGGTCCTGCTGCAGATGAAGCATCTGCAAGTGCTGTCGCAATGTTTGATACCTCCTCAGGAGCCGCTGTCCCTTGTCTATTTCGCGCCCGAGAGCAAAAAGCTCATCAAGCAGACGCTGCTGCTCCTGCTGGAGCCGTTCTTGTTGTGCTTCTTGTTCCCGCTGCTGTTCCTCGCCATCACTGCGACCGGGCTGCCCGCGCACATGTTGCTGCCAGTTGTATTCCCCCGTACCCCCGCTTTCATTGTTGGGTTTGACAGTACTATTCCCACGTTGCTGATGCTTGTCCTGGTTGAAAAATAGCTGTGCGGAGTTTTGAATCAACACCTGAGACAAGTTTACTCGCTGCGGCAGCTGCATATCAGGACCCGTGCCTCCCCATAAAACTTTTTGCTCTTGCTCACGGACATCTGGCGCGCTACCTGGGGGAGCCTCGACAGGTTGAACTTGCTTCTCATTGTGACCTTTTCCATCCTCTCTTTTCCTGTGGCCGTCCTCTCGCTGTTCCCGCGCCGTCTCAAAATCAAAGACCTGCCGCTGCACAATGTGCTGCAACGCTCGAGGCACATATGTCATGTTCTGTACCACTCGTTGTCTCTCTGCGATACGCCGAAGTTGAAGCTTCGGCTTTCTGAGTGAGATCAGATCTGGCTGCACCTGTTCCTCTAGCAACCCCTTCACCGTTTGTCCTCCACGGGATCCCTTATTGTGCTGCCGGTATCGCGTACCTTGCAGCTGGTGGAGCTCCCCGGGTCCTTCGTGTTGCTGCTGTAGTGGTCCAGACAGCTGCAGTCTCCGTCTGCTCTCAAGTCTCTCGTTCTGTTTCCCGTGCTGATATCCCATGAGCGGCAACTTCTTCTCCGCCTGAGGCTGCGGCCGCGGGCGCGTCGATTGCTCTTGCTGTGGTTTGTCCTGCTCTCTGTGTTGAAGAACGTTGTGTTGTTTGTCGGCGTGCTGCTGCCCGCCTACCAGCGGTACCTGGAAAGTCTTTTGTTCCGACTTCTCACCCTGCTGTAGGTCATGCACCGGTGGCCTCTTCAAGGGCTGTACTTTGTTACGAAGGTCGATCAGTTTCCGCTTCTTGAAGTACAAGGGTCGTTTTCTGCGCTCCATCATATTATGCTCCTGCGTGTCCAGCGACCGCTGTTGCAGCGCTCCGTTGGGTTGTCGTTGCCACGCTCTGGGCACATTTTCACTCTGATATCTTCGGCAGAGCGGCTCGTATGGCTGGAGCGCTGTGTGTTGCTTCTGCAAGTCCTGGAGGCTAGTGTTGTTACAGGGAGCCCTGACGTCAGCCCGAAGACCCTGCTTCGGCGGCACTTTACCGGCGTGGGTGCGGGACAACATGCGCTCTGGATTCACCGGGGTGCGTCGAGAAAAATTATCGCTTTCTGCTCTGGACCTCTGGGGTTGAGGTATCAGGGAGGAGGCTTCGAAATCGAGAGGACCGTCTTCCGCCGCTTTCGGCGCTGCTGTCGCCGCTGCTGCCGCGGCCCAGTCCGCGCGGACAGCAAAGATACACAGAGCACGTCCTATGATGTTCATGGTGGAATGGCGAGGAGTGATCCAGGCGGCAGCAGTAGAGTGGAGTCAAGTTTCTGTATTTGCTACCGTAGTCCCGCGAAAAGTCAAAGAAGATACTGGTCATGACACGTGTGCATGGTGCACTTCCTTCTGGTATTCGGTTTCCACTGCGCCGTACCATGCTCAGAGTCAACACAGGAACGCTCCTGCACAGACCAGTGTCCTTCACTGGCGGCACCCAGCATGATTTCCGTCTGGTTCAGGGCATCTGTGCGTCCGCGTGATGCACGTGCAGACTCTCGTACGTAGCAGGGACCGCAGTAGAACTCGTGCACGTCTAGTTATATATCGGCGGGACGAGGGTCGTGCCTGGAGAGATGTGATGCAGCCTTCGTTCCATTCAGGTACTGCTGTACACGCCCTGGAGAGATATTTACCAGCCAGCAAGCCGCTTCCGGCGCAGCAGACGAGTGGGCAAGGACTAACGAGATAGGCTTCTCGTTAGGAGCGACATCGCTGTCAACGATAGCGGGGGGTGCTGTCCAAGCGTTCACATTCGTGAGCGAATCGCAGCAGAGGACCGCACAACGGTTGAAACCGCACGAATTTCTGGCTGGCTGCGCTCTTCTGTTGACAGTGTGCTACCGCCTCCGGGAGGCTTTGGTGGTATGTTTGGTGAGCCAAGTACGCGAGCTTCAAGGACTTACTCTCCGTATGTCCAGGGGGTTCCAGCCGGTTGGGGCATCTACACCTGCCGGAACGCCTCTGGAAGCTGTGTCAGGAAGCAAAGCTTTCAGACCCGTTTAAGATGAACACGTGACAACGCTGCTACATGTTACAGCGCGAAGACTGGGTCTATTCTACTCTTTTTTCTGTCCTAGAAGCGGGGACTGGAGGTAGTCGGAGGCAGTGGGAAAACGACAGGCGGCAGTGCGCACACACAGAAAGTACAGATTTTCGCGAGCGCTCGCGTGAAGCAGTCCTAAAGAAAGTAGATGTGCATCTGACGAGCTCTGCAGCTAAGAGGCAGTACGTGTGCGAAAGCCTAGCGCGAAGAAATGAGGCGCCGCAGCATGCCACGAGCTCGAAAGTTACGACTGAAATAATGACAAACGAATGTGAAAAGCGGTAGCGCAGATGCTCTCTGATCTCCTGCGCCACAGCTTGTCGGCTACTGTTGACCCTCGTGGCGCAATCCCCAACATCTGCCTTTTGCTAGCGTCGCCAACAAGTTCGCGAGAGTCACGCGTGCCGCCACGGCTATACAGGGTGCTCAGCGTTTTGTCGCCGCCTCTTCGCTGCATTTCACCTTCCTCGACGTACAGCTCGTCCGCATACCGCGTGCGAGTACTAAAAAACTCTTTTGCATATGTGCTGAAATAATGGCATCAAAAGTGGCAGCTACAGACGCAAACGCGAGCAGTGTCTCTAAAAACACCACCATCAGCAGCAGCATCCTCCTCAGTACCGCCGCAGGCAGCACGGTACGCAACAGCCGCATCTGCGGTTAGCCGGCCGCACCTACGTCGAATTCCCAGGCGAGGACCGGGCACAGGTGGTTGCGCAGCTCGAAATATAGCCCTGCCAGGAAACACAGTGACGTGCTACCTTAAAAACGGAGTTTGAGCCCCCCATGGGGGGTCATCGCATATGCGGGGCGGTCTACTTGCGGAGTTTCAGCTCGCTTCCAACGCAGAGCGTGTGTGACAACCTGAAGACCATCCCGACGACCGGTCGGTGAAGGGAGTAACAGCGGATTATATGAGGGAAGAGGAGGGAGTGGACTAAAGTTCCCAGCAGCACAACCCCTAGTAACGTATCATAAGCATGACGAACGTGAGCTATCTTGCCAAGAGCACAGCCGTTCGAGCTGTAGTAACTTCACTGCTACGCGGTGCATTGGGTGCCTTCCGCCATCACCACACCTTGCGTTGCTAGAGGCGAAGGCGGTCGAGGCTTTCTTTAGTACCATGTGTAGGCACACTGAGATGGATGGTTGCGCATATATAGTACACAATGATAGCAGTACGCCGTGTATATTCCACACTATCCGATGCATCGTAACGCCTTCCGTCACCAAACCCTTTGCGTTGCTTATCGCAGGGGAGTGGCAGTTTTTCCTGGTCCTACCTGTAGGTGCATCGAGACCGGTGGCGGTGCACGTATAGTACAAAACAGGAAGCGTCTCCAGTGTCAATGGCGGTAGTCCCTACCCGGGTATTTGTCGACAAGGGTGTAGCGCCAGCACCGCTACAGGACAGCTCTCGTGAACGGTCGAAGGTGATAAGAATTCGCTCGAGTGTGCCTGTACACTAGGTGACGGCGGATGTCGAACCTGACCGGTGTCAGGAGACCTTCCTCAAGAAACTACGAGGGTGCGCTTGCACATATGCCGGTCCGCGACTGCGGAGGCTCGGGATTCTGAGTAATAGCACGTTCCGCATTCGAGTAAACACACGTGCAGACAGGCGGTCTCTGCAAATCACTTCTCCGCATTCGCGTCTTACGTAGTGGAAGCAACATTACTATAGCCTCACTTACGACGCCTGTCTGCTGTACTTGGCCATTTTATCGTTTGCGAACGCCGGCCGCTGCTAGAGAGTTCTACACCTAGTACAGGACAACGCAGCGGATCCGCAAATCACGCACGCGTTGCACCTGTAAGTCCGGTGCACGCAGCTTCTGCGAAGGGATAGATGTGTTACACCGGCTGGCTGTGGAATTTTGGCCGATGTTACAGGCTGTCACGTGTGCACTATTCGCTCGAACCCAGCGCGGACCCAGACACAAGACAAACGTTGTCATCTCCTACAGAGGTAGCGAAAGCACCGGCGCGAGCGGAAAAACGCACTTGTGCATACGCTAGTATGCACAGCTGGAATTCTCGCAGTCTGTTTGACATACTGTCAGGCAGCATTTTCACACCGTGGAACACTAGAAAAGCCAACGTGACGACTGCAAGCACACAAACGCGTCACCACCGCTTTCATCATTGCTCCGCCGTCAGTCCAGAGCAGACTGTTAAGAATACTCGCGGTACCTGCAAATGCCGGCGGCTCCGCGCGTCCGTAGAAGCTACCGCCACGCGCAGAAGCGAATCACCGCCAATTAGCTCAGGCGTGACAGCCTATAGTGGTTCGTCAAGAGAGGTCTTACGGATATACCGCACGGCGGGTACGCAGCCGAAGCCCGCCCAACGTCTCTGCGACCTGCTTAGCGTCTAGCGGTTGAACCCCAGGCCGGAAGCGAAAGCGACTTTGGGGAGAGTGGACAAGCTATGCAGACGGACGCGGAGTCGATACGCGTTCTCCGTGAGTGACCCTGCAACGGATCTTCACTATATTTGCGGCACATAGTCACACAAAATGATGTAGGGTCACTTCTCACTTGCACAGTGGGCCTTCTTCCCTATGAAGCAGCGGAGCTCGTTGGCTAGGGGACAGTGCGGAAAGCATGCAGATGAATGCTCAAGGGGGTATGCATCGTTCCTCGCGAGACATCCTGCATCGAACCTATATTACGTGCTGAGACAGATGTACACAAAATATGGAATATTTCTCTTGCTCATTTGCAAGGTGAGCGTTCTTCAGTACAAAGCAGCGGAACTCGTTGCCTCCCCCGCCGGAAGGCACAGCACATACGCTGCAGATGCAGTGTGGAGATGCGCCACCAGCTGTTCACTTGCAAATTGAATGCTACTCAGTTCACGCGCACACCAGGACGGCGCGCGGCCGACAAAAAAGTCACTGCAGAGAAGGGTGTGACGTTGGAAAGGTGAACCTCGCACATCCGGCATTCTCGCAGGCGTCAGGCGAATACTACTCAACCAACAGGCGGATCAGACGCCGCGCCGCCAACAAACTTACTGTTGACAAAGGAAAGAGGACATCTGCACGCGCAGCGTTTTCGCAGTTGTTGTGCACCACGACTGGTTCTGTAACGACGACCTAGTAATGGCAATTACGGGTACGGAAGCAGATCGTCGTGGGTAGGTACGCTGCTTCGCATTCGCGTGATGTCGCGAGTAAAAAACCTTCAGGGGCCTACCCGATGGAATGCTTTTCGGTGAGAAGCAGCACCACCGCTTACACTCCGGTATTTGTGCACCTCGGTGTGTCTGAAGAGCAAAAGCCCGACACGCTAACCGTATGAAGCTTCGAAAACGTATGTTGCTCAGCAAGTTAGGCTGCGCACAGGCCAGTATGCAACGCAGTGCTGCAGCGCGGGTCCAGCCCTGCAACGCTCAGGTTGGAGAATACATGTTTCATACGTCGACGCTCCAGCAGCAGACGTCCGAGAGTTCCAACTGGCGCTTCCTGCTGGAGGTTCACACTTTCAGGGCTGTTGACGCTTCCCAGTCTTCGTACGCCTGCCCTGTAGTGTACTCTCCGTCTGCTCCTCTGTACAAGAAAACACAAGCACCCTAATAGGAATATACGACGTAAGAGACACCGACAACCCAACAAAAACATCCGAAGGCCAGACCTGCCGCGACCCCTGGCGATGCCCCACACTCTCCTGGCCTTTACGCTTCCCCGTACTCGCCTGCTTGTCCTGCCCCTCTGCTTCGCCATACAGAATTGCTCAAGCGTTTTAGGATACCAACCCATATTTTCCACTGCATACTTTCTCGAATCCGCCGACCTGCACAGATGCATGCACATGGGAAAATGCAGCTTTACAGTAGTGTACACAACGAAGATACTCCGAGGTTAAGACCGCTGGTGGGAGCGCACAGCAGCAGAAAAACTAGGGATGGAGTAGGCGTATGCAATACGAGCGGTTCCGTAGGACCCAGGTCTGAGGGACTTCTCAGCAAAGCAGAGCAGGGAGCTAGTCGAGCGATAGCTCTGCAGAAAGGCTACGCTGAACACAGTGGCACGTCACTGACTACTAACCGCGAAATGTAGAATGGAATGCGCCTTCTTAAGAGGGGGTACGCTAGTGACACCGGTGTCCGCAGCCGTGTACAACACTGCCTCCCCATTGCACGTGTTTTATACCCTGGACTGGTGCAGGTCTTCACAATTTACATCTTCACTTCTAGAGGGCAGGCGGTGCGGAACTCTGCGTGCGCATACAAGCACTTGTGGGCTGCAGCCGTACACGGAGGAAAGCTTGCTCACATACAGAGAGATAGAGACGTGTATAAAAAGGCGTGTCCCCTATATCTGAGCAGCGTGTAGAATGTGCGGGTGCGCATGCACTGAAACAGACAGCTGCCCGGCTACACTCTTAACACTCGTATAGACCTAGACACACGCCTCTGTGTACACGTCTCTGCCCCGCTGTATGTGTAAACGCTCTTCCCCTTCTGCCGGCTCGTCTTCGACTACATAAAGATACATGCAGTGGACACATACGCGCGCTACAAGACGCTGCGTGAACGAGTTTGCAGCGTATACAAAGATGCAGAATTACGTACGTTCCTGTCTGTAACCATGTCAGGGAAGCATAGTAGAACGTGGGCGTCGCTCAGCCCTACCACGCCAAATGAGCGCATGTCTTCAGTGAGTGTCAGGCCTTTCTCTCTAAACATAAATTCATACGTATATGTGTAGACGTATACATATATGAGTGCGTGGAGGAAAGCCGTAGTACATCCGCGACGAGACTGGATATCCGTTACCCCCTTGATACCATGCCTGTTGAAGCGTGGGTGCTGTGACACGGATGTACTGCGGAGAACAGAACAACATTCACATTCGGATCGACTAGCGATCTTCGCCGAAGCTGATGCAGGCGGAAATATGCAAAAGCCTGAATGTACCACATACCTTGCGCGAAGAGGGACAACTGTCCCTCCGGCGCCCGGTTATCTTGCTTACCTGCTCGTGGATGATGAGTACAAAGGACACCTCGTCCTTCAGAGATATACGCAGACAAGCAAAAGCGGTGAGGTCTCATGTACCCCGCGTGTAGGTGAATGCCTCCCTCTCGGCGCGGCCACAGATAGACGTATATGGTATACGTATCACGTACATGTGAATGAAACACATATTGTGTACATATGATGCAGTCGGCCCGTGGACGACCAGTCTACAGAATAATCAGCGTCTGGGTAGCATCACAGGTTCGCCACAGAGACACAAAGGCGGCGCAAGTACATCATGCATGTGTGTCGTCATAACATTTCCCTGCATCGCGTATGCATTGTACAGTGGGATACAAACCCCATTACTTTGTCGGTCTCTGCTTTCCGCGGGGCGTGAATGTCTTGCTTAGGTGTGTTCTTGAGTCATTTGTCCTGAACACATGTACGTACGTAGAGAGACATAGGTCAACATCATAAGTACTGGGTGCACCTGATGTAGCAGATGTGATAATGCACAAACCGGATTACTCGCATTCATCTGGTGTGAACGCATTTAGAGAGACATAGGCGGGTATAGTCCGGAGGAGCGCCGGATGTCTTGCACACCGCGCCCCGCGTGCATGCAGTGCAGATTTTGTCGCTGCAGCAGCAACTGCGGCAGTAACAGCTCTGCACGTCTCCGCGGCGACACTGAGAGAAAGACACGCAGACACCTGCACACAGAACAATTGGAAGAAGCACATAAGAGCTATCTTCGCGATTCTCTACCTGCCCTAGGCTTGTCTACGGTATATATTGCATATATATACGTATGCATATCTGTGCACTGGGAACGTGTGGCTGACATCTTCGCAACTCGCATTTCAGGGGGTTTGCAAAGCAAAACTTGCAGCAGCAAAAGATATGCAGCGCGATGGTGCCACTTCCAGGCACCTACACATTGTTTTCTAGATGTTGCAGCCGTATATATGTGCACATAGATACATAAAGAGCTGAGACAAATGTCTGTGCGAAAAACATAAGCTCTTTCGGAGACGTTTCTTGGAAGAAGGAGCAGAAGCGCCACATCGACAACACCAGTTGTCACACAGCGGATCACCTGAATAGCAAAGAGCTGAAATGTCGATTATGTAGGCTGTGCTAACGAAGATTTCGAAACGAAGGAAGCGGCGAGGGTGTTCTATTGTTACGCCTTGAGGAGCACATGGATGTGCAGTGAGCAATGCATCAAAGACGCCGCGACAGCATGAAGTACATTTTTAGCAGCTGCCCTACTGCAGAGAAGATGGAGGCGCCCTAGCAAGGAGGACAGAGATATGGGCAGATGAACCAGAGCAACAACGGCTGATGTAGTGAAGGCTGAGACAGCACCTGCCGAGACAAAGAACCCGAAGATGCGATGGAGGGCGACCTTGACCTCGGCAGCAGCCAATGTGGAGTTTCCGCTATAGGCAGACGTATCTAGAGGTACATACTGTCCAGCGTACTTGCAAACACGTCGGAGTTCATGAACAACAGCTGTATCAGCAGCCCACGCAGTACCACACCTACTGCCGGAGAGTCAAGCCAGCGTCGTCATCGTATCTGTACACACATACATGTGTATCAGCAGCCCACGCAGTACCACACCTACTGCCGGAGAGTCAAGCCAGCGTCGTCATCGTATCTGTACACACATATTTCAAATATTTACACGTAAATATACACATACATGTGTACATGTACGCATGTGAACACATACTTATATACATACGTATGTACATGTACGCACGTGAAAACATGCTTTTTCACCTAACTGTGTTGAAGTGGGGAACTCCACTTGCAGCAATAACACCGGCGAGCTCATCAAGCAGGCCACCGTGGGGCAAACTGTTAACGCCAAAGCACGCAACAACAGTTGCAGCAGCAGCATGAACAGCCGACGCTACAGTTGCTCGGACGTCAATAGTGCTTGCACGGTCATCCGCGGGAGCAGTTGTAGCAACAGGAGCGCAGTAAGAAGAGAGGAGCAACATCAGCAACGCATTTGTGTTGCTGTAGCGAACCCACTCCTGCCTCTGTCCGCGTAACAAAGGCTTCACGTAGAAATATGTGAAAAAATACTGGTAAGGCGCCCTGCAGCATGAGTCTCCACAGGCCGCGGTCAGAGTGGAAGGATTATTTATTTTAAGTGCTGCTCCTGCACAAAGAGTTTAACTTCCACCGTTCTGTTTTTCCTCTACATGTCCAGCAGTTACTTTCTATTTAAATATGCAGAGAGAGAGGGATAGAGACTTGACTCTTTGAAACCTACACAATTAAATTTTATGTACCTATGTACATTAGACGGCAAGGTCTTTATCTCTTTCGCTGCCTGTCTGCGAGCAAAACAGTGAGAAGGCGACAGCGGGAAGCGACGGCTGTCCCCTCGTACGTACACCACGTGCGTGCGAACGTAGACGGCCGCCTGCGTTGGCCGTGAGGAGAAGCGGCGCCTGCTGAGACTGCCTTTTGTACAGACAAAGCGAGGAGGGGCCACCCAATAAGTAGCAGTATTTGCAGTAGACGACGCAGCACGATGAAAGGAGAAGCCGCAGCGGCAAACGCAGCAGGGGCAGGTGCAGCAGGAGAAGCAGCACCAGCAACAAAGAATCCGGGGCCGGGCGGTCACACACAAGGAGATAAGACGCTGCGGCTTTGCAGCGACAGCCAGGCTCGCAGACGCAGCAGCCGAGAGAGCAGGGGTGGCAAGGGAAGCTGCGACAAGATGTCTGATATATAAGGTCATGCAGCATGCCAAGAAACTGCGAGGAAGCAGCAGCAGCAGCAGCAGCAATTCTGCACGCGCAGCAGCAGTCGCAGGCGCAGCTACACTTGTCTCCTTTCAAGCTCCACCATACTTTGCTGTATATGTATACGCACGTACGTGCAGATACGCAGTCCCGTTCGTGAGGCGCCTCTGTGTGTTTTTTTCATGTACATGGCAATAGATATATACGCCTACGAAAGACGTCTACGTATCTACATGTGGCAAAGTGCGATGGCCTACATGTTTTCGGCTGCCTTTTTGAGCCCGCGTGGATATCATCATCGAAACTGCAGATCTTAGTTTTCACGTTTGTATGTCAAGCTATTGATTCCGTCGTATTTGTGGATGGGCAGCTGGTATATATATACGGAAAGAGACGAATTAGTGGGAAACGAGTACACGTCTCTCCCTCTCTCTGCGTATATATGTATATATACACATAGAGGTGTGTATGTGTATATATACAGACATATGTGCACTTATATACGCATACAGAGAGAGGAATGAAGATGGAGATAAAAACTGTACTTAGATATAAGATAAGAAGAAGACAGGAAGCATGATCAGGTGGGCAGTCGTGTATACGAAGAGAGACAACTAGGAGCTCCTCCTACACTCTTTCCCACAAAGTGCGATTCAATATGTAGCGCCCGGTGGTTTCAAGTGGCTTACGCCAGGCAGCAGATAACAACGTCTGCTGTAAGATGAGCACATTTCCTCGTACTATCAAAAGCAGGAGCGCAGACAGTCTCCGCTATCGGACGCTGCTGCTGCTGTTGCTGGTGTTTCTGTCCGTGTATCCGCTGTTGCTGCCGGTGCTGCCGCCGCCTGCTGTGCCCCTGGCCCTGCTGCCTCGTGCAGCTCTGCTTCAGTTTGCAGAAGCACTGCGTTTATACAATTTTACGGCAGTCGATCACAACGGCAAGTGTATGTCTTCCTCTGTTGCAGCACACAATCTCTCTCCGTGTCTACATCCTCCTCTGCATCAGCAGCAGCTGCGTGTGCAGGAGAAGATAGAGCAGCGCGGGCCGCAACGGCAACAGCAGCAAGACCATCAGGGGGACCACTGGCGACAGAGTGTCTCTTTACAGCACCGAAGCGAAGGGCGACCGCTGGCTCGCGGCCTCCAGCAGCAGCAGGAGCAGCAGGAGCAGATGCCAGGAAACCGGTTTCTATCAGATCAGGCGCTGCCGGCGTTAGGCGGCGCCTCTGCTCGCGCACATTGTCCCAAAGGTGTCTTGTTGAGACAGCGGAGACGCTTCACAAACAGGAGCAGCCGAAAGAGGAGGAGCACGTACACAGTCAGCCACTGGAGGCTGATGGGTAGCAGCGGAATGAACAGCAGCGAGAGGCGCAGCAACCGGAAAAATCTTCGACGCAGCAGCTGCAACAGCAGCAGGAACCACGATAGCAGCTGCGGATACCAGAGGGACAGCAAAAAATTCGGAAGCCAAGAGTGCTTCAGCAGCAGCAGCAACCCACGCAGCAGGAAAAAAAAGACCTCGACCAGTACTGGATTTCAAGAAGGATGCCTTCTAGGTAGCGACGGTCACAGCAGCGGCGGCAGCAGCCACGCCTGCGACTCACAGCTATTTCGTATAACTTGTATATTTCTCCGACTCCGCGCTTGGTATGATGCAGGAGTCGCATGCAATTCCGTTGAATCTGCGGTCGCGTCTACTAGTGCACCGCATGTACAGACCCCGAGAGACGCGCATAGGCCCCCCGCCTTCAGTATGTCTTACCCGCGACCGCGCCCTGCATACTTCAGAGATGCAACAGCAGCTACGAAATATTTCCTAGCAGTGTCACCTGCATCCCTGCGACTGCCGGCTGCTGGTGTTACAGAGCTTTGCTGCCAGGAACACTCGAGCTACAGAAGCTCTGTACGCAGCACCAATCGCGGCTGCGACCGAAGAACACACACTGGTCTTTCCTCCTGCTGTGGCTACATATGTAGCAGCGTCGACAGCAAGAAATGTGGTGAACTCAACACCAGGAGGGGCGGAACGATTACCAGCAGCGGACGCAGCAGCACGTTTAGCAGCACCCGCAGCAGCAGACGTTCCTGCATCTCAGTTACATGCAGCGGCAGCAACAACAGCAGCAGCAGCGCGACTAGCAACAGCGCTGGTGAGATACACAGTAGCAGTGCTCGCCGTAGGATACAGGGTATCTGCCACAAGCAGAAGCGTCTGCAGTCCGAGCTGCCTCTTAATAGCAAATATGCAAACATCTTAGGTGCTACACGGAGCAGGGTACTTGCGTCTTCTGCAAGGTACTCAGATGAAGTAGCCGCTGCTAAACTGGCAGCTGTTGAAGACGCATTTCTTTCCGTTGTGCGCGCCGCGCGCGACTGGGTAGTTTCGCAAAGTCGTTTCTACTGGGAGGTCTTCTCCTGCTGCAGCATCGCAAGCTGCCTCTGCTTTTGAGAACTGTGCTGCTGCTGGTGCTGCTGCTCCCAGCACAACTGCGCATGCTGGTTCTGCTCTAGCAAACTACACTGCTGCTGCTGTCGACATAGCTGCTGCTGCCGCTGCAAGACCTGCTGATGTGGGCTTTGAAGGGACTGCGCCAGGAACATGTGGCGGCACTGAGACGCACGCGACGGACGTGCACTCGTGTACTACCCGTGTACCTTCTCCCGCAGAAGAAGCAGCGGCAGCAGCAGCAGCCGCGGGTACAGCGAGTTGGTCTGCTACGCTGGATGCTACTGCAGCAGGTGATAAATGCATTGCGTGGCAGCAGCTTCAAGAGGCAGTAAACGCTTTCCACCGTGTTGCCAGAGAAGCTCTAGGCGTCCCGTTGCAGCAGTCACAATATGACGATACTCCTGCTGCTCGACAGCAGCAGCAGCCGGTGCGGGCAGCGAGACTGCAGCGGCAGGGGCTCGCAGCAAACGGAGGACAAACGGAATGAGATACAGCAGCAGGGGCGGACATATCAGGAGCACCAGTCTCACAGTCTGGCAGCAGATAACGAAGGAAGAGCCGGTGGAGCTTGTTTATCTGATGACGGAAGCAGCACCGGGAAAGGCAGCCTATCTACAGGAACCCCTGCTGCTGCGCGCACAGGTCTGAGTGGAGGAGACCTACGCAGGAGAGGGGAGAAAGCGGCGCCGCATTCCCGCTAACTGCAGCAGCCGCGGCAGCACCGCAGAGGAGGGGGGTTGCAGCAGCAGCCGCAGCAGCTACCCGCCTATTGTCTGGTATGACGAAGGGAGGGGGAAGCTCATGATTGATCGGCAGCAGCTGCTGCGAGAGAGGGGCGAATCGACTCGTGGAGACTGGACTTTGCGCTTTCTAGGAACCGGCTCTATGCAGTCATCGGTGCGAACTTAAGACGTCCTACTCATGCTGCTGCTGCAGCTGCTGCTGACTTTTTATCTTGGGCTGCTGTCCACATAGCTACGACCATTACACGGCCTCACGTGATGATGGGACAGCTGTCTGTTCTTGCAGCAGCAGTAGCAGCGGCTACAGAGCACTAGTATCTCGGTCGCCGCTACTCGCTGTTTTTCTGATGTTCTTGCTCCCGTTTAGTATGCTCGTATTGCTGCAGTAACTGCTTACCGCGGGTGGCCATGCATGCATGCCGGCCGCGGTATGTGGGATGCGAAGTCACTGCTGCATCTATCGTGAGTTTTGTGGCGTCCTGGCTGTGTACTGCTGCACGACGTCGTCACACTCTTCCCGTGGCTTTGAGCATTATAGCAATATACTAATTTATACAAACTTCTCTTTCTCTGCCTGCGTAGGCATGTCTGTGCATGACTGTCTATATATTGCGTATTGATACACATGCTTATGTGCGTAAGCATATATACTAATGCAGCTGAAAGTAAATACGTATACAGAAATTTTATTACGAAGATGTGAGTGCACGATTATATATGTATATATATATACATATGTCTATGTGTTTACGAGCGCCTGCATGTATATATACTGGCGCATATATACATATATATATGTATATGTATATATATATATATATATATATGTGCGGGCGAATGTCTATAGGCATGTATTTAGGAGTAGTGCCACACCATATATATACGTATATACACTTTTTCCTCCATGACGTGTACATACAAAAGTACAGTTCTTGCCCTGTCGCTTTCGCACTGCATGCCGCAGTGAAGTGTTTGCTGCTATACGTTCAACGAACCGCCCTTTGAACTTGATAAGCAGGCATTACAAGCTACTCTAGTTACAATACTTGCTACCGCTGCGTTGCTACATCCCCCATGCAAACCTGCCTGAACAGCGAAAGGAGGAAAAGCAGCCTAAGTGTCCCCCCGCGTTCTACTTCAGCTTCCATTATCTGCACGCACCCGCGGTGACAGCTGTCCGTTTTCTCTTCGAGTTCATACACTTTTACATATATATATACATATATGAATATGCGTCTTTCTTTATTTGCTACAAGCACTCATACAGACGCTACAACGGGTGTGTTCCAATGTGACTCTATTCCCTCTTCTACATGTAGCCGTTATCGCTGCTACGTCTGCTACGGTGCCGTCTGTACTTGCCTCGATGTATACATTTGTATACGTATATGTTTACACATATATAGACATACAAATGTACGTATCTATATATATTCTCTCTTGCGTGCTCCCAAAGTTGCGTATGAACAAGGTCCAGGACGGCCCTCATCATCCGGTTTGTCGTTGCTGCGTGCTGCCTCCGCAGCTGTCTCGTAACACTTCCGCTATTCTATTCACAAGGGGAGACGGCGTCTCGTGGCTTTTTGACTGTGGCGGGGGCCCTTCTGCGGCAGCCCTCCCCCCTCCTTCCTCCTCTCCCTTCCAGAAGCAATCTTCTCGTTTTTATGAACGGATTCAAGCAGCTGCAGCAGGAAGAGAATTGGAAGCCAGTAGCGATAAAGCAGCTATTTTACGTATAGGAGCTGCAGCAGGAAGAAAGAACG